TTTCTTCCCAGAGAGACACTCTGAGAACAGCTCTGCCCTCTTTGCCTGCTGGGGATGATCCCCTCGGCTACAGCCGAGGTTTTGTTCCGTTCCACTGGATCATCTTTCCACCCACAGCCCCCGGGTTTGGGCCTGCCTGTGATCCACAGCATCCCAGAGTGGTTTGGGTTGGAAGGGACCTTGAAGACCATCTCATTCCAACCCCTGCATGGACAGGAGCACCTTCCACCAGATGAAATTTGGTGCAGAGTGTTTGCCACATGCACCGATGGAGGGAACGGGTGACTGACTCCCTTTGGGGCTTGAATCCCACATGGATTTTATATCCCGGGCAGGGAAAGCTGCTGGAGCTGCTGCTCTGAGTGTTGCTCCAGCTGAGCTGTTCAGGGATCTCTCCCATTCTTTTTTGGCCCTAAAACCAGCGTGAGCAAGGACCAAAGTGTCCCAGGGAGGGGCTTTGAACCCTTTGCTGCAGAGCGTCTCCCTGGTGGGGAGCCTCCCTTGGCCCCCCACCACCATCAGGGTGGTGGTGAGACGTGGGAACAGCGTCTCTGGAACAGGCACAGCTTGCCTGGAGAAGCTGCCCCATCCTGGAAGTGTCCAAGGCCAGGTTGGACGGGGCTTGGAGCAACCTGGGCTCATGGAAGGTGTCCCTGCCCATGGTGGGGGTGGCACTGGATGAGCTTTGAGGTCCCTTCCCACCCAAACTTTTCCAGGGTTCTGATGCTGTGCTTTGGCTCAGGACTGTGATTTCTGCCTGGGGCTGTGGGGGTGGAAATACTCCTGATACTGGATCTCTTCTGTCGAACTTTCCTGGGAGGAGACACCCTGGTGTCTCCCCATCATCTCTCTGTGGGACTCAGGCACCCTGGGGCTGGCACTGGGAGCATTTTGGTGGCAGCCCGGGGTAGACACAGGTCTGTAGGATGTCTACAGACAAGTGCAAAGTCTCCTGGCCATTCCTTGGCCTTACAGTGATTCAGCCCGGGATGCTTTCCGAGTTCACTTCCATGGATTCCATCCATCCCATTCACAGTGGGAATGTCTCCTGACGCCCTTTGCTGTAGTAGGAGGAGGGTTTCTTTGTCAGCCTGTCTCCATGATGGAGAGCGTGTTCACACCACTTCCCTGGGCGCCCAGAAAGGTGCCAGGAGATGGAGAAGGGGGGAAAACTGTGACCAAACACGGTCCCCATCGCTGTGGGGCCACCCCCGCAGGACGCTCCTGGGCTCCTTGGCGAGGGTGTCTGCTCGCCGAGGGCATCGCTGCCCTCCTGCTCTGCCCCCGGGGAGGGCGGCAACCCAAAACAACGAGGCAGGGAAGCTCCAGCTGCTCCTCTCCATGCGGGAGATGCCCCGGCATCCCAGCTGGCAGCCGGGGAGTGACGGGAACCATCCCCCCCGGGCGCTGGCGGGGTGGCAGCAGGGGCACGGAGGGCCGCGGTGCCCGTCACCTCCGAGGCGCGCGGGTGCCACTCAGGGACCGGCGGTGGCTGTCACAGCTGCCTGTCACCGCCGGGGAGGCGGCTGGCAGGGCTCTGCTCCCGCCTCGCCTGTCAGAGCCGCGCCGGAGGTGGCTGTCACCCTCTGCCCGCTCGGCTTCCCCCCTTCCCCGCTCCCCTCCCGGCACATCTGATCCCATCAAGCTCCGGCTGTTGACTCAGGGATAAGCTGTGCCGGAGCTGTGACCTTTGCCGCTGCGGCGAAGGCGCCGCGGAGATTTTTGGGGTGGTTTTGGGGTGGCACCGCCTGGCACCGGGGTCTGCGCCGCCCCGATGTGCTGGATGTGTGTGGGCTGCGACATCGGGGAGCGGGGTTTGGCTTTTGGGAGCCCCTCCGGGTGCTGGGGAGGCAGGAAAGGGATGGGGGCTCGCCCTGGGCTGCTTCTTCCCTGGGAAATTCCACTCGTGGCCGTCAAGTATCGTCCCGGAGGAGGAGAGCGGGGCGGGGGGGTGGTGTGTGCGCAAATTATGCGAGGGGAAGAGCGAGGAGAGCTTGGAATTTGAAGCCGTGCAGGAAAGGTTGCCGGTGATAAAGGTTTAAGTAATGACTGACACGCGGGCAGGGGAGGTCGGGAGACATCAATAGTCGGGAGCAGCTCGGCGTGGCTGGTGCGGGGAGGAGGAGGAGGAGGGAGAGAGGGAGGGGGAGAGGGAGAGAGGGAAAGAGGCAGCCGCTGTCACGCTCCAAAGCTTGCGAGGATCAACTGATCCCGCTGCCCCCGGGTCTGGCATTTCTCCAGCCCGGGGTCCTCACGACCAAGCCTGGCCCCCCCTCCTGCAGCAGCCAGACGTGCTCGCGGGGGGTTTTGCCGCAATTACCTCTAATTGTGGCAATCCGGGGGGTTTCTGTGAGAATATTCCTCCCCTTCCCTCTGCTTATCACCCTGATTTAACAGCGGCAGGGAGAAGCAGCTTTTCCTCCGGGTGGGAATCTCAGTGCACAGGTTAAAGGGGAAGGAATTGCCAATTAACCCCGCAGCTCCCCAAACTCTCGGGGCTGTTCCCCGCGGCCCTGGGGTGCCTTCCCCTGCCCTCCCGCCCCGCTCGGCTGCTTTTCCCTCCTGCAAACAGCGGGTCTATTGTTAAACGCCGCCATCCAACGTGTATCGCTGCCTCTAATGAGCGTAATTAGCCGCGAATCACGCAGGTCTCATTTGTGTTCGGAGATCAAAATCCCCGATACACTTTAATACCTTTTTGCAGTGAGCACATTTAGAAAGTAATTAAAAGGCTCAGCAGCCGCCTTTGCCTCCGTTCCCTCTCCCCCCTCCCCGGGCTGGCAGGATTTAATTGAGGCCAGCTGAAAGTTTAGTGGAAAATAAATTGTGGCTGATAAAGCGGAGGATGTAATTTAATTCTGGGAGAGGAGCTGTTCCTGCCCGGGTGTTTAGTTCTTCGGGGACCGGGGTTGGAAGGGGGAATGATGACAACTCATTTGTGTAATGTGATTTACTGATGAGACGGGGACGTTTAGGGAGAGATGGGGCTTGGGAGTGGAGTGGTGACACTCTTTGGAGTGGTGACACTCTTTGGAGCGTCACCTCTGGGATTTGGGGACCAGCTCTCCACCCCTGGGAGGCTGCAGGCACTGGGGCAGTGGGAGGTGGGTCGTCTCAATGGCTGGGGAGAACCACGGGTCAAAAATATCGGCGTGGGATGAGACAGCCGAGGCAGGGATGGGGAAATCAATCCCCCTCATCGGCTTGGAAGGGGCTCAGAAAAATCAGCCGGAATGACTTTTACATGGGTAGGGACAGGACGCAGGGAATGGCTTCCCAGTGCCAGAGGGCAGGGAGAGATGGGAGATTGGGAAGGAATTGTTGGCTGTGAGGGTGGGGAGGCCCTGGCCCAGGTTGCCCAGAGAAGCTGTGGCTGCCCCTGGATCCCTGGAATTGTCCAAGGCCAGGTTGGACAGGGCTTGGAGCAACCTGGGCTGGTGGGAGGTGTCCCTGCCCATGGCAGGGGGTGGGACTGGATGAGCTTTAAGGTCCCATTCCATGATTCTGTGATCTGACATCTTCATTGCTGGCTTTGCCTGTGGAATGTCCGGGACGGATACAGCGGAGTGAGAGAAGGAGCTGGAGCAGCTGCTGGAGGGAGGTGCTGGAGAAGGAGACAGCTTGGGATGGTGCTGGGGAAGGAGGCACTTTAGGGTGTTGGAAAAGGAACAGTTTAGCATGATGCTGGAAAAGGAGGCAGTTTAGGATGGTGCTGGAAAAGGGAGGCAGTTTAGGATGGTGCTGGAAAAGGGAGGCAGTTTAGGATGGTGCTGGAGAAGGAGGCAGTTTAGGATAATGCTGGAGAAGGAGGCACTTTAGGGTGTTGGAAAAGGAACAGTTTAGGATGATGCTGAAGAAAGAGGCAGTTTAGGATGGTGCTGGAAAAGGGAGGCAGTTTAGGATGGTGCTGGAGGAGGCAGTTTAGGATAATGCTGGAGAAGGAGGCACTTTAGGATTATCCTGAAGAAGGAGGCACTTTAGGATGTTGGAAAAGGAACGGCTTAGGATGATACTGAAGAAGGGAGGCAGTTTGGGATGGTGCTGGAGGAGGATGGAGTTCAGGATGCTCCCAGGACTTGGTCCCTGGCACAGGAAGCAGGATGTAAATGTAACCTTCAGCAGGCGAGTGCAATTAGAGCTCCCCTCCGCCTGCTATATTAAAATGGGATATTGGAGCAAACAGTGGCTCTCCCGACTCCCAGGGATAATATCCAGCGCGTGTTTGCCCGGGGATTTGCCGGCACACGGAGCAAACGGCCGGGCTGCGCCGCTCGGCCCTCGGCTCGTGCTGGGCTTTGGGGCCTGGGCCTGGGAAACCTCTCAAATCCCTTATTGAAAATCCAGCCCTTGAATCCCAGCACGGATTCCCACCTCTCCGTGGCCTCTTCTCCGGGAGGAAGAGGAGGGACTGTGCCCTTGCGAGGCTGAAGGGGGATGTGGAGCCCGAGCGCGGCCACGCTGCTAATTAACGTCCTGCTCCAGTGCTAATGAACTCACCTCTTCTTCCTCACCCTCTCTCCCTCCTTTTCCCACGGAAGGAGAGCACCGAGGCTGCTTTTTGCCGTGTTCTTCTCTTGGAATACGAGTGGAATCTCCTCCTGACCGCCTGACACTCGGTGTTTTGCTCAGCCCCCACGGCCAGACGTGATGTCTTATTAAATAAAGTGTAAAAGATGCTGTTCCAGCTTTATTTTCCCTTTCCCGTTTGGACATCACGACGTGGTCCCAAAAGCTTCGCAGTCCTGCTCTGCCTGCACGTGGGGGCGTCACCCCCCTGGTCCAAACTGGGTTATGGGGGGACAGGAGACCCCCCCCTTTCCCTCACAACCAAACACAAAGCCCAGAGGCCTCTTCTTTCCCGAAGGGAAGCGTCTCCAAGGGGAAATATCAGGAAAACCCCCTTTTTTTTTTTTTGTTGGTGTGCATCCTTTGCTCCCCTCCCCGGAAAGCTGAACCCTGGCTCTGGTTTTGCCTGATGGTTTGCCCTGTCTCTCCTGCAGATACGCTGTCAGTGCCTCGCTGGTCCCCGCAGATCCCCCGGCGGGATCTGGGAAACTCCATAAAACACAGGTACTCCCACCCTGCCGTGCTCCCAGGGGGAGGAATATCTCCCTTTCCATCTCTGAGCCAGGGCAGGGGGCTCAGGACTCTTCCCCATCTCTCCCCTGCTGTGCTGTGCTGTCCCAAAAGCCCAGTTCAATTCCCTTTCAGATCTGGGTTAGATAAGGCCTGAGTCGCTACCAATAAAAGCTGGGTATTATCCATGACCTTGCCAACCTCCAGCAAATTCCCCATCTCCAGATTATTGCCCTTCCACATCCACCTGAAGAGGGAAAACCACTGGAAACGGTCTCAGTGCTGCTGTTTGATGGGGCAGCTGCTGGGCTGGGCACGGGTCCCCAGGGCAAGGAGGGGTTTTGGGGGGTGCCTGGGCTGGGCAAAGCTGCCTGGGGTGGGCAAATGCCCATCCTGGCTGGCTCAGAGCACTTTGGAGCAGGTTGTGCCCTTCTGCATAACCAGAGCGGGGTCAGGTTTGGGGTTTGGCATCCCTGGAAAGATTCCTCAGCACCCGCAGCGGTGTTTGAGGGCAGCAAGGGCAGGATAACTCAAGGCTCAGGAGATAAGTGGGGCTTCATCCCTCCCTTCCCACTCTCTGTGTTTCCCTCCGCAGGTTTTCCACCAAGTACTGGATGTCTCAGACCTGCACTGTCTGTGGGAAAGGAATGTTGTTCGGCTTAAAGTGCAAAAACTGCAAGTACGGCGGGGGCTGGAGCTCTTTGGGTCTCTCCTCGAGCCTGGGAGGGGATAAATTCGGGATTTGCTGGTGGAGCCCAGCAGGAACTTGGGCGTGAGGAGGGGCCAACCAGCTCATCCTCCCAGGAAGCTTTAATGAGAGGAGGAATTGGGTGAACACCAGCCCAGAGCAGGGCTGGGGTCGGGGGGGTCCTTGGGGACGGTGCCACTCACCAGAGCCCGGCTCTGCTGGCACCAGAGCTCTGAGTCAGATCCTGGCAGTGCCCCCTGCTTGCTGCCATCCCCGGCCTGGCTTTAGCTCCTCACATCACGTGTTCCACGTGGAATTATCTGCAGGAGATGGGGATGGATGCACCGGACTGGGCTGGCTCTGGGTGTCGGGTGGGTTTTGCCCCCAGCCTTGGGCTGCAGCTTCTGCTTTTTCCTTGGGGGGACTCTCTGTTTCCTGGCACTGAGGAGCCAACCCACCCTAAATCCCAATTCAGCCACAAGGCAAAGGAGAGAGGCTGTAAAATCAGGGAGAACTGGGCAAAGAGAGGCTGGGGCCACTTCACTGCTCTGAATCCGGCAGAGCCCAGCTCAGGCAGTGTCACACGGCCACCAGCTCTTGGGCAAGCTGCTGCTGGAGACAGAATTGCCCTTCCTAGGGCTGGGAGCTGGGAATAGGCCCGTTGTCTGCGGGTATCTGAGCTGGCTGGAGCTGTGGGGTGGCCACGATCGCTCTTGTCGTTGATTAAACGCTGATGAGTTGGGAAATTGGGATTTAAACCTGACCAGAAATGCCTGGTTACTCCACAGCTGGGGGTGGCTTCCTGGAAGTGATATTATCAAATCCAGAGGTTTTAAAGGGGTGATTCCTGTTGCAGTCCCCATCTCGAGCAACTGGAGGCTTTGCTGCCTGCAAGCCCTGCCCGGTCTCCGTGCGGGAAGAGGGATGTTGTGCCTGGTCCCTGCCAAGAACAGGGATGCTGTGCCTGCCCCAGCAGTGCTGTGGCTCTGGCTGTGTCAATCCCGCTCCCTGCAATCCTCCAGAAAGGAACAAATCCATTCCCTGGCTGTAAGAAGTCGGGGTGAACGCAGGTATTTAGGTTTTCCAGCTCTGCTGTAGCCAACCCCGGCACCGCTTCCCCCAGAAACCAGGGGGGAACCAGCAGGTAAAACAAACAACCAGACCCCAAACCCCCCAAGCCTCAAATACCAAATTAATTCCTGCCTTTCCCTCTAGGAACAGCTTTGCAATAAAAGCTAACACGCACAGCTCCTGAATTTTCATTACCCAGCTCATTGACTTGGAGCTGCCGTTCCTTTTTTTTTTTTTTTCCCCATCCTTCCCCCTTGTTTTTATAAATCTTTTCCTCCTTTTCTTACCTTTTCCCCCATGGCTTTCCGCAGCCGTGGCAGAGCAGGAGCCTGGGATGCATTTCCACGCCTAATTAAGGAGGAATGGGGAGCTTTGGGGAGTCTGCTGATGCCTAAATGCATGACCCAGGGGTGAGCCCCTCCATGGATCCCTGCCCCGGCTCCAGGAACCAGGCAAAGCTCCACAGGATATTCCGTGGAGCCGTAAATGCTCTCGTTATTTTGGCTAAATGGCCCTCAGAAAGCCAAGTGGGGAAGGCACAATGACAGGGACACATCAGGGGCCAGGGCAGCTGCTTCCTCTCCCTCCACTGCCCCTGAATTTTGGTGGTTGGAAGAGTGGGGGTTTCATGGAATCATGGAATGGTTTGGGCTGGAAGGAACTGTAATGACCATTTAGTTCTGAGCCACTGCCACGGGCAGGGACACCTCCCACTGAACCTTCACCCCCGGGCACAACTCTGCTGCTTTTATTTCAGCCAGCACTGGCAGGAGGGGGAATTTGGGGCACCCTCCAGCTGGGCAGTGCCTGGTCCTTGACAGCCAGCAGGAAAAGGGGGAGCTGGGCAGTGCCCCCCGATTTGGGAGCCCCTGTGCTGCTCCATCCCAACAGATGCATTTGCCAAGGGGTTGCAGCCCCCGTGTCCTGCCAGCCAGCCCACCCTGCTGCTCCACCCTGGGCTGCTCCCTGTCCCTGAGCTGCTCCCTGGGAATCGTGGGGCTTCCCAGGCCCCCGGGGCTCCCCAGGCTTGGCTCAGGCAGTGACACCCAGGGGCTGTGCCCGGCCAAGGCCTCCCATCCAGTCACCTTCCCGGGGGCAGAGAGGGGCTGATGCTGCTCCCTGTGCCACGTCACATCATGGATTCATGGAATCCCAGAAGGGTTTGGGTTGGAAGGGACCTCAGAGTTCATCTGATCCACCCCCTGCCA